GAGGGGCAAGCCTGCCTCAAACCTGGCTTGGTACAATGCACTCTGGGAAAGACACCAAGCTCATGTACTCCCTGAATCTAAATACCAGCCTCCAGCAAGCAGTGGGGGACACCCTTATGTTTTGGAAGCTTTAGTGGTTTCCAGAAGGCAGGAGGAGTTCTAGGCAAACTTAAACAGCACTAGAACATGAAGAGCAGTCCTAACTAATAAATGGCAGAACTCTATTAAGCAGAATGCAGAGGATAAATATACCTATTAGTGCCCCTGTTAGGCAGAAGAGCAAGCTACAGTAATCTGACTATGTACATCATGGTCCCTATACTAGGAGGGTGCTACGTAAAGGAAGTGGTCACTTCTTGTTGTCAATTTACATAACAGATAGCACATATTTTTTGGTGTGAGAGGTGATTACCACTTCACAGTAGACTTTGCACCTCTGTCCAGAATAAAGTTTTAAACAGCTATGAGAATGAAGCCTTACCTACCTCTGCAAATATCAATCATGTTTGTTCTATCTCTTCTTAATGTATGTAAGTATATTTTTATTTCATTTATTAGTTATTATATTAGTTATTAATGTTGTAGTAATTAACAGGTGGTTTATAAAACTACAATTTAGATATTATTGTTACACCACAGAAGATATCTAAACTGAACAACAAAAATCTAATATATGGCAGCTTACTAGTTCTTAGAGGGGGTGACTGCATTAATTTTTTAGACAATGCATTTTCTGCAATCCATTGTGCTTGTAACTTTATGTGGGAAAACAGAGAAGAAAATAAAAGTGGTACATCAAGTCTGTTCCTTTTTTTGTTTTTTTCTCTAACTTTATGTTTATAGAGTCTAGATCAGGGGTGGGCAAACTTTTTGACTTGAGGGCCGCAATGGGTTCATATATTGGACCCGGGGGCCGGACCAAGAGTAGATGAATTATGTGTATGTGTCATCCATAGTAAGTATAGTAATATTCCCCCATAGTAAGCATAGTAATTCATCCCCCCTATAGTAATTCATCCCCCATGTAGTAATTCATCCCCCATGTAGTAATTCATCCCCCATAGTAATTCATCCCCCCATAGTAATTCATCCCCCATATAGTAATTCATCCCCCATATAGTAATTCATCCCCCCCCATAGTAATTCATCCCCCATATAGTAATTCATCCCCCATATAGTAATTCATCCCCCCTATAGTCATTCATCTCCCCTATAGTAATTCATCCCCCATATAGTAATTCATCCCCCATAGTCATTCATCTCCCCTATAGTAATTCATCCCCCATATAGTAATTCATCCCCCATATTTATTCATCACCCATATTAATTCATCCCCCATATAGTAATTCATCCCCCATATAGTAATTCATCCCCCATAGTAATTCATCCCCATATAGTAATTCATCCCCCATAGTAATTCATCCCCCATATAGTAATTCATCCCCCATAGTCATTCATCCCCCCTATAGTAATTCATCCCCCATAGTAATTCATCCCCCATATAGTAATTCATCCCCCATATTAATTCATCCCCCATATTAATTCATCCCCCCTATAGTAATTCATCCCCCATAGTAATTCATCCCCCCTATAGTAATTCATCCCCCATGTAGTAATTCATCCCCCATGTAGTAATTCATCCCCCATAGTAATTCATCCCCCATATAGTAATTCATCCCCCCATATAGTAATTCATCCCCCATAGTAATTCATCCCCCATATAGTAATTCATCCCCCATATAGTAATTCATCCCCCATAGTCATTCATCTCCCCTATAGTAATTCATCCCCATATAGTAATTCATCCCCCATAGTCATTCATCTCCCCTATAGTAATTCATCCCCCATATAGTAATTCATCCCCCCCTATATTTATTCATCACCCATATTAATTCATCCCCCATATAGTAATTCATCCCCCATATAGTAATTCATCCCCCATAGTAATTCATCCCTCATATAGTAATTCATCCCCCATAGTAATTCATCCCCCATATAGTAATTCATCCCCCATATAGTAATTCATCCCCCCTATAGTAATTCATCCCCCATATAGTAATTCATTCCCCATATTAATTCATCCCCCATATTAAGTCCCCAAGTCCCCCCTATGTCAATTCACTTACCTTTGCTCCGCGCGTTCCTCTCGCCGTGTCCCGCGCCGTTCTGGTGTAGCATGAAAATCTGTCTCCTATGAGGATCTGTCCCCCTCGACGTATCTGCGCATGTGCCAGTTTCAGGCATTAGCAGCCGATCGGCGATCTCCGGCACATGCGCAGATACGTCGAGGGGGACAGATCCTCATAGGAGACAGATTTTCATGCTACACCGGAACGGCGCGGGACACGGCGAGAGGAACGCGCGGAGCAAAGGTAAGTGAATTGACACAGGGGCGGACTGTGAGAGGAGCCTAGCTCCGAGGGCTGGATTAAAAGGTCCGCCGGGCCGTATACGGCCCGCGGGCCGTAGTTTGCCCATTGCTGGTCTAGATCTATGTTTGTACTTAAATTCACTTACTTTTGACTGATTCACTATGTCGGCTGGATGTCTGTTCCAAGCAACATCCATTTACAGATCTCCCCAGCTGGAATTAAACTGGAAGCAGTATGTATTACTTCACTTTTAGTTTCTTCTGTCATTTTCTCTGGCTACTAATTGCCAGCAATTGCTACACATAGACAACAATGTAGTGTGGAATGTAATAGCAAATAATTTCTATTAGTCCAACTACAATATTCCAAATGCATACATTCCTGAAAGTGGCAGTAAATGTATGCAGGTGCTGCAGTAAACTCCGGCTGGGAACTAAAAACATTAAAACTGAGAAATGTTATTTATTATTCATTTAGTAGCTATATACAGTATGACCAAGTGATAATTACAAAGGCAATGTTTCAGAGTCTTGCAGAACCCCTTCATCAGGCATCTAACCTTGATGACTGATCAAGCGGTCCTGCGAGGCTCCTAAACTTTGCCTTTGTAACTATGATGTGATTGTTTGAATAAAGCTTTGGACCTATTCTGGAGATCCGTGGTATGCTGGTGACATTTCTCACTTTTAATCTCTATTAGAAGCACAATGGTCCAAATTTGGGTATTTCAGTGCTACTACATGTTACACCTCATGGTGGTCTATTTATAGCAATTGCTAGTGTAGAGCTTACCCCCCAGGAGCCAATGTTAATGGTGGTTCCTCTGTTCTGCCATGACTCTCTTTACTTCTCTATCCATACTGACACAGTTGTGTACACCTGTGTTACTCAAAAGTTAGTAAGCTACCACTCTATAATAATGCACAGGTATAGGCCACAAGTGACTTGATGGTAAATTAAAAAATGTATTATTACAAAATGCAGCTAAACAAGCATGAATCAATGAACAGATAATTATACAGACTTAAAGGCACTAAAATATATCAATGTTCAATGGTCCACTAACTGGCACTCAAAAGACTATAGGGAAGGTAAACTGAGCTATAACAGGTGCAGCTAGAGTCTCTGTAATGCCATCAACTAACTCAGAAAATTAACAGGATTCATGTTTGCACACTTTGCATAAAACCCCCAAAGTGGGTGTGATTATGTGTTCCTAATGTATGGGGTACCTCCTGAAGGTGGCTGAAAGTACCTGGTGCTTAATAGTTAATGTTGGCTGGCATTCAGTGGGGCCATTCTTTAGGTGGTGCACTGTACTTTTAAAGATATTAGTGATGTATGTAGCTGAGCAACCGGGTAAAAGCAGTCTCTATGGCATTAACTGTGTGTGTGTGGCAAGAGTTTAAGATGTGTAGTTCAGCTCACCACTCCTTGCAGGTGACTAATCTGGTCCCAAAGGCTTGGTGACCATCAGGTTCCAGAATGCATACACTATATTGCCAAAAGTATTGGAACACCCCTCCAAATCATTGGATTCAAATATTCCAAATGTAAAATGACAGAATGGGGTCAGCGCATGCTGAAGCGCACAGTGCGCAGAAGTCACTGTCTGCAGAGTCAATAGCTAAAGACCTCCAAACTTTGTGTGGCCTTCAGATTAGCACAACAGTGCATAGAGAGCTTCATGGAATGGGTTTCCATGGCTGAGCAGCTGCATCCAAGCCTTACATTACCAAGTGCAATGCAATTTGTTGGTTGCAGTGGTGTCAAGCATGCTGTCACTGGACTCTAGAGCAGTAGAGACGGGTTCTCTGAAGTGACAAATCATGCTTCTCGATCTGCCAACCTGATGGATGTGTCTGGGTTTGGTGGTTGCCAGGAGGTTGAAACTTGCCTGACTGCATTGTGCCAAGTGTAAAGATTGATGGGGGGGGGGGGATTCTGGTGTGGGGTTGTTTTCCAGGAGTTGGGCTTGGCCCCTTAGTTCCAGTGAAGGGAACTCTTAAGGCGTCAGCATACCAAGACATTTTGGACAATTTCATGCTCCCAAATTTGTGAGATCAGTTTGGGGATGGCCCCTTCCTGTTCCAACATGACTGCCCACCAGTGCACTAGGCAAGGTCCATAAAGACATGGGTGAGCCAGTTTGGGGTGGAGGAACTTGACTGGCCTGCACAGGGTCCTGACCTCAACCTGACATCAGTGCCTGACCTCACATATGCGGTTCTGAAAGAATGGTTAAACATTCCCATAGACACTCCAAAATCTTGGGGACAGCATTGACAGCAGAGGAGAAGCTGCAAAGGGTGGACCAACTCAATATTGAACCCTACAGCGGTGCAGGCGTCCCAATACTTTTGGCAATATAGTTTATGTGAATGTGGCCCGATATTCAGACACAGAAATTAATAAGAGAAACAAAATTGGAGCAATTCTGCTGCAATGTGTAGGCACAACTTTGATGTACTGACCGACCTAATGCCCTGTTTGTAAATGTATTTACTACTATTGTGGAAAAAATATGCTATTCATATAACAAATTTTATTGTCTAACCCTTGGACTCTTCAGGTGCTTGTGACAAAATTATTGGTGGAAAAGAGGCAAAACCTCATTCACGACCATATATGGTGTTTATACGAGAGAATTCATCATACTGTGATGGAATCCTGATAAAGCCCGACTGGGTGCTAACGGCAGCACATTGTTCCATGTAAGTGAAGCTGCTTCTCAACACATGCAATCCATTCATCAGCCTTTATTTCATGAATGGTACCTCCAGCTAATTTGACTTTTGAGTTTTAAGTAGAGTAAGGAAGGATTAGAACCACTGTTTTTACTGCTATCCAGTGCTCCATCAGAGAGGTATCCCATCACTTACTTTCAAAGTGTCAATGATTTTATCAGAAGGAAGCAAAGGAGAATCTCCTACAGCAACACAGACAGAAATAAAAATATTTTTTGAGTTGGGTAGGGGGAAACTACAAATGCTGGCAGACTTGTATTGCTGTCTGTGTCCATGTTGCAGATTCTCCCTCACTTTCTGTCTAGTAAAAATGTTGTCACTGAGACAGGACGTGAGGGATTCTAATCCTTCTCCACTCTATTGTAAGCTAAAAACTTTGCTATATCACTATACTTACCTATTCTGAAGCTACTCCGGTCTAGTCTCCAGCTGCACCTTCTGTGTGCAGGAGAAAGCTGACAACAGCTAGGAAATGCCTGGGAAGTGACATCACTCATAGACTTACTATGGGTCTTCCGTTGTCGGCTGCCTCTCCTACACACTGAAGCTGCGGCTGACAGCTCAACCTGGGACTGGAGCAAAGTAGCTTCAGGATAGTTGAGTATCTTTTCTTTATGGGGCTAGATAGATTAAGTAGGTGGGGGTGGGAGAAGGTTTAGAGTTAGCTAGTTTTGCCTATACTTCCACTTTAAAGCTGTAGTTAAACTAGAGCAATTATAGAAAAAAAAATAAAACATTTCTCCCGCAAGACAAGGGCATAATGTGCTAGTATGCATTGCATACTCTTAGACTTCTTAAAATACTTACCTTAGAATGAATCCCTCCAGCAGTGTCCTGTCAACACTGCAGGGCTTCCATTTTCATCCGTCTTCCTTCCGATGTTCACAATCTCAGCTGTATGAAGGGTACCTAGCTGCAATGACGTCACAGGATCCACGTGCTAAGAGAAGGCCCCGGATGGACTTTCAAAGTGTCAATGATTTTATCAGCAGGTAGCCGGAGAATTCCTACAGCAACACAGACAGAAATAAAAATATTTTTTTGAGTTGGGTAGGGGGAAACTACAAATGCTGGCATTGTATTGCTGTCTGTGTCCATGTGTGATTCTCCCTCACTTCTGTCTAGTTAAAATGTTGTCACTGAGACAGGACGTGAGGGATTCTAATCCTTCTCCACTCTATTGTAAGCTAAAAACTTTGCTATATCACTATACTTTATTCTGAAAGCTACACCGGTCTAGTCTCCAGCTGCACCTTCTGTTGCAAGAAAGCTGACAACAGCTAGGAAATGCCTGGGAAGTGACATCACTCATAGAACTATGGGTCATTCCGTTGTCGGCTGCCTCTCCTACACACTGAAGCTGCGGCTGACAGCTCAACCTGGGACTGGAGCAAAGTAGCTTCAGGATAGTTGAGTATCTTTTCTTTATGGGGCTAGATAGATTAAGTAGGTGGGGGTGGGAGAAGGTTTAGAGTTAGCACATTCACAGTGCAGGGAGGAAAAAGTATGTGAGGCCCTAGCTTAATGACTTCTCCCAGAGCTAATTGGAGCCAGGAGTGAGCCAACCTTGACTCCAATCAGTGTGATGATATTGGATGTGCTGCTGACAGCTGTCCTGCCCTTAAAAAACACACTCCAAAAGCCTTGATGTTCATGTGTCCACGGTAAGACAGACTGCCTACAAATGGAGAAAGTTTAGCACTGTTGCTACTCTCCCTAAGCGCGGTCGTCCTGTACGGATTGTTGTCATTGATGGGAAAATGAATTCCAGAGTTTATCAAGACATTTTGCAGGAAAACGTACGACCATCTGTCCGCCAACTGAAGCTCCGCAGAGGATGGGTGATGCAACAGGACAATGACCCAAAGCATACAAGTAATTCAACAAAACAATGGCTGCAACAGCACAGAATACGCCTTCTGGAGTGGCCTCACCTCAACCCGATTGAAATGCTGTGGCATGACCTTAAGAGAGCGATTCACACCAGACATCCCAAGAATATTGCTACACTGAAACAGTTTTGTGAAGAGGAGTGGTCCAAAATTACTCCAGATCGTTGTGCAGGTCTGATCTGCAACTACAGGAAACGTTTGGTTGAGGTTATTGCTGCCAAAGGAGGGTCAACCAGTTATTAAATCCAAAGGTTCACATACTTTTTCCTCCCTGCACTGTGAATGTTTACATGTTATGTGCAATTAAACCATGGCAACATCTAATGTTTGTGTAGTATTATGTTCAGCAGACTGTGTTCTTCTATTGTTGTGACTTAGATAACGTTCAGAGCACATTTTATGCCCAATTCATGCAAAACTCCACGTAATCCCAAGGGGTTCACATTATTATTATTATTATTATTATACAGTATTTTATAAAGCGCCAATAGTTCGCTCAGCGCTGTACATTACAAAGGGAGACAGAACATGTGACAGAACAATACCAATACAATGCAAAACATGAGGGGATCGAGGGCCCTGCTCTTTCGAGCTTACAATCTAGGAGGGAACACATACATTTTCTTGCAACTGTATATCTAACTAATCAGGCACTCCAACAACTCAAGGGTTAAACTAATGGTCTTTTTTCCCACATATAGTAAGAGAGCAAGTACAAATGCAACCAACAAACATGGTCTTCAAGTCTGTAATATTATTAGATCATTCCTTGACTGATGTATTCATTTTATATTGTAATATTCCTAATATGTGGATAAGTGCCTTACTAAAAAAGTGCAAAGGAGATACAAACAAGACATGCTATGAGTATTGCAGAGAGTTGTGAAAATAAAAAATTCAAATAAGATTCAAAATACAAAAAACCTAAATATATCACCAATAGAATGATACCAATATTTTATAGAAGAGTAGGAAGAAACAGACATATGATTTTGTGACCCATTCGCTGTATGAGATTGTTGTATGAGAATTATGTAACAGGTCCCATCTTCCTTCAATCAAGGTAAATGGACCAAACATTTTTTGTAATAAGTGAACTTGTGTGTACAAATGTAACCACCCTAGATTCCTAAACTCCACCTACAGTAGGTCCAGAGTCTGCCATTAAAATATTGAATACCAAGACAAATGAAAAAATCTATTTTGCAGATTGCAACAGAGTACTGCAGATAAAATAGGCTTAGCTCACAGAGGTAGCATACTTGGATAAGGGTACCACTTAAAGGTAAAGTAGTAGGCACAGCTCAGTTTATATTATCCGTATGCCTTGGTGACAGCAGAATAAATCCCCATGTGCATGCACGGGAGATACATCATGCCCCACACTGCCCAATCAAGACATTGAAGTCACCACACCTTAAAGACATCATGGAGATGTCAGCACTGGTGTGGGCTGCTTTAAATCCAACGAGATTTGAAAATTACACATAGCTAAAATAAAGATACTTTTTTGTATGTTAAAGCTTTGTGAATTTAGCCTAATGTATGAAAATATTTAGAAACATTGTATGTAAGGAAGTCAGTTACATTCTGCAAAACAGGTTTTTGCTTTTCTATTCATGATTTATAGCTATTCCTTTAACTTATACCCATCCCCTATACTTACTATGGTGATCTTAGTGACACTAACTAAAGGAGATTGATAGGGGGTCTTTACTCTGCACTAATAGTTTCTAGAGCTCTAAAATTGAACTATGTAGTGGTGATGGCTGGAAGCAAGACATAGGGTGTATTGACAACGAGCAAAGGTCAGTGGCCCTTGAAAATATCCCTATAATTGTATTCTCTCCCTCACAAACGTTCACACAATTGTTCATATTCCATATGACTTCTCTCATACCCCACACAAGCTGTTCTTATGTGGTAGGACAAGCTCTCCTCCCAGTTGTATGGGAAATACTGGAGCTTTGATTCATGTATTGTTGTATTGGACATCTATCTTTTCCAACAGTTAACCGTTAATGTTCCCTTTCTGTGCCTGTGAACCCTAAAATTGCATTTTTGAGTATCATCCCAGACGGTATATTGTCCCAAACACGTAAAACACTAGGTATTAGACTATTTTTCTAGCCTGCAAATTAGTGGCACAACAATGGCTGTTTCCCACTCCCCCATCATTTTTGCAATAGAATTATGCAACTAACAATTTCCTTGAAAGGAAAAGACTGTCTTATCAGCATAGGGGGACCGTGACCCAAACAGTTACAAAAATTGTAGTCACTGTGGTTATCTTTGGGAAATACTGGTATTAACCAGTGTATCACATTAGTATTACATTGTAGTTTTTGAAATACTATCTGTGATTATATTATATAATATTGTGTTACCTTACCTAAGGCCTTCTAAAACCCCTGTGCATTCTGTTTTTTGCATTGCTCATACATTGATTGTTATTGGCCTTTATACTATAAGGCTTCATGAGTACTTGTGCTTTTTTAAATGATTTTCTCCTAGCAAATGGGTTTAGACACATCAAGGGCTTGGGCATTTCTTTACTTCATTGGCAAGAGTTTTAATTTATTCTGGTAATTGAAATAAAAAAATTTGTAAGCGCTAATCGGGCCTATAACTTAGGCATTTACACACATTTAAGTGCGTTTTGGAATTTATTCTACCAAAACACTCCTCTCTTGAATGAGAAAGTAATGAAGTAATGTTTTTTTTTTCTGCCTCTAAATGCCCACATAGACTAACATGGAGGGGGGTTTAGAGACAGAAAAAAACGTCGAACACCTGTAAAATAGACTTTTGTGAGGTGCAGAGGCCTCAAAGGAATGACCTGTAACGGTTTGTTCTTTATATATATATATATATATATATATACAGTTGTGTTCAAAATAATAGCAGTCAGACATCACTAACCTGATCAATCAGGTGCTCAAGAGGTTACAATTTGCCAGAGAGCACATTGACTGGCCTAAAGAGAAATGGCGCAACATTTTGTGGACTGATGAAAGTAAGGTTGTTCTTTTTGGGTCCAGTGGCCGGAGACAGTTTGTCAGACGACCCCCAAACACTGAACCAAGCCACAGTACACTGTGAAGACAGTGAAGCATGGTTGCGCAAGCATCATGATATGGGGATGTTTCTCATACTACGGTGTTGGGCACATTTATCGCATACCAGGGATCATGGATCAGTTTGAATACATCAGAATACTTGAAGAGGTCATGCTGCCTTATGCTGAAGAGGAAATGCCCTTGAAATGGGTGTTCCAACAAGACAACGACCCCAAACACACCAGTAAACGTGCAACATCTTGGTTCCAGACCAACAAGATTGATGTTATGGAGTGGCCAGCCCAATCCCCGGATCTTAATCCAATAGAAAACTTGTGGGGTGACATCAAAAATGCAGTTTCTGGGGCAAAACCAAGAAATAGAGAAGAACTGTGGAATGTAGTCCAATCATCCTGGGCTGGAATACCTGATCACAGGGGCCAGAAGTTGGTTGACTCCATGCAACACAGATGTACAGCAGTTCTCAGAAACAGCGCTTATACAACTAAATATTCATTAAGTGATTCAAAGGAAAGCAAAATCTTCAAACATTTTTCAGTTTATATAGTGAATGTTTGAGTTTGTAAAGAAGAATACAAACACTGCTATTTTTTTGAACAGTCTAATATTCCCTTTTCTTAAATTTTTTTTAGAGGAACAACACAAATTTGATATATTTTTCTTCATGTTTTGATTTGGAGTAGAATGTGTAGTGTTCCCAATGCATTTGTGTGCATGGAAATAAAAGCTATTAGAAGGATTTTGAGCTTTATTCACTTTTTTCAACACACTGCTATTATTTTGAACACAACTGTGTGTGTATATATATATATATATATATATATATATATATATATATATATATATACACACATACAGGTGAAACTCTAAAAATTAGAATATCGTGCAAATGTTCATTTATTTCAGTAATGCAACTTAAAAGGTGAAACTAAAATATGAGAGACTCATTACATGCAAAGCAAGATTGTTCAAGCCGTGATTTGTCATAATTGTGATGATTATGGCTTACAGCTCATAAAAACCCTAAATCCACAATCTCAGAAAATTAGAATATTACATGCAATCAATAAAACAAGGATTGTACATAGAACAATATTGGACCTCTGAAAAGTATAAGCATGCATATGTACTCAGTACTTGGTTTGGGCCCCTTTTGCAGCAATTACTGCCTCAGTGCGGTGTGGCATGGAAGCTATCAGCCTGTGGCACTGCTGAGGTGTTATGGAAGACCAGGATGCTTCAATAGCGGCCTTCAGCTCTTCTGCATTGTTCGTTCTCATGTCTCTCATCTTTCTCTTGGCAATAACCCATAGAGAATCTCAGGTCAGGCGAGTTTGCTGGCCAATCAAGCACAGTAATCCCACGGTCATTGAACCAGGTTTTGTTGCTTTTGGCAGTGTGGGCAGGTGCCAAGTCCTGCTGGAAAATGAAGTCAGCATCCCCATAAAGCTTGTCTGTGGAAGGAAGCATGAAGTGCTCAAAAATCTCCTGGTAGACGGCTGCGTTGACCCTGGACTTAATGAAGCACAGTGGAAAAACACCAGCAGATGACATGGCTCCCCAAATCAACACAGACTGTGGAAACTTCACACTGGACTTCAAGCATCTTGCAGTGTGTGCCTCTCCATTCTTCCTCCATACTCTGGGTCCTTGGTTTTCAAATGAGTTGCAAAAGTTGCTCTCATCAGAAAGAGGACTTTGGATCACTGAGCAACAGACCAGGTCTATTTTTCTTTAGCCCAGGTAAGACACTTTTGACGTTGTTTGTTGTTCAGGAGCGGCTTGACAAGAGGAATACAACATTTGAAGCCCATGCCTAGGATCCATCTGTGTGTGGTGGCTCTTGATGCACTGACTCCAGCCTCAGTCCACTCCTTGTGAAAGTCCCCAACACTTTTGAATGGCCTTTTCCTGACAATCCTCTCCAGGCTGTGGTCATCTCTGCTGCTTGTGCACCTTTTTCTTCCATACTTTTCCCTTCCACATAACTTTCTATTAATGTGCTTTGATACAGCACTTTCGGAACATCCAACTTCTTTTGCAATTACCTTTTGAGGCTTTCCCTCCTTATGGAGGGTGTCAATGATGGTTTTCTGCACAACTGTCAGGTCAGCAGTCTTTCCCATGATTGTGATTCCTACTGAACCAGACTGAGAGACCATTTAAAGGCTCAGGAACCCTTTGCAGGTGTTATGGCTTAATTAGCTGATTAGAGTGGGACACTTTCAGCCGAGAATATTGCACCTTTTCACAATATTCTCATTTTCTGAGATAGTGGATTTGGGGTTTTCATGAGCTGTAAGCCATAATCATCACACTTATGACAAATCACGGCTTGAACTATCTTGCTTTGCATGTAATGAGTCTATTTCATATATTAGTTTCACCTTTTAAGTTGCATTACTGAAATAAATGAACTTTTGCACAATATTCTAAGTTTTCAAGTTTCACCTGTATATATACAGTGGGGCAAAAAAGTATTTAGTCAGCCACCAATTGTGCAATTTCTCCCACTTAAAAAGATGAGAGAGGCCTGTAATTGGCATCAGAGGTAGATCTCAACTATGAGAGACAAAATTCAAAAGTTCATCTCAATACTTTGTTATATATCCTTTGTTGGCAATGACAGAGGTCAAACATTTCCCGTAAGTCTTCACAAGGTTGGCACACACTGTTGCTGGTATGTTGGCCCATTCCTCCATGCAGATCTCCTCTAGAGCAGTGATGTTTTGGGGCTGTCACTGGGCAACACGGACTTTCAACTCCCTCCAGAGGTTTTCTATGGGGTTGAGATCTGGAGACTGGCTAGGCCACTCCAGGACCTTGACATGCTTCTTACAAAGCCACTCCTTCATTGCCCGGCGGTATGTTTGGGATCATTGTCATGTTGGAAGACCCAGCCACGTTTCATCTTCAATGCCCTTGCTGATGGAAGGAGGTTTGCACTCAAAATCTCACGATACATGGCCCCATTCATTCTGTCCTGTACATGGAACAGTCGTCCTGGTCCCTTTGCGGAGAAACAGCCCCAAAGCATGATGTTCCCACCCCCATGCTTCACAGTAGGTATGGTGTTCTTTGGATGCAACTCAGCATTCTATCTCCTCCAAACACGACGAGTTGTGTTTCTACCAAACAGTTCTATTTTGGTTTCATCTGACCATAAGACATTCTCCCAATCCTCTTCTGGATCGTCCAAATGCTCTCTAGCAAACTTCAGACAGGCCCGGACATGTACTGGCTTAAGCAGGGGGACACGTCTGGCACTGCAGGATCTGAGTCCCTGGCGGCGTAGTGTGTTACTGATGGTAGCCTTTGTTACGTTGGTCCCAGCTCCCTGCAGGTCATTCACTAGGTCCCCCTGTGTGGTCCTGGGATTTTTGCTCACCGTTCTTGTGATCATTTTGACCCAACGTGGTGAGATCTTGCGTGGAGCCCCAGATCGAGGGAGATTATCAGTGGTCTTGTATGTCTTCCATTTTCTAATTATTGCTCCCACAGTTGATTTGTTCACACCAAGCTGCTTGCCTATTGCAGATTCAGTCTTCCCAGCCTGGTGCAGGTCTACAATTTTGTTTCTGGTGTCCTTCGACAGCTCTTTAGTCTTCACCATAGTGGAGTTTGTAGTGTGACTGTTTGAGGTTGTGGACAGGTGTCTTTTATACTGATAACAAGTTCAAACAGGTGCCACTGATACAGGTAATGAGTGCAGGACAGAGGAGCCTCTTAAAGAAGAAGGTACAGGTCTGTGAGAGCCAGAAATCTTGCTTGTTTGTAGGTGACCAAATACTTATTTTCCACCATAATTTGCAAATAAATTCTTTCCAAATCAGCCAATGTGATTGTCTGGATCTTTTTTCTCATTTTGTCTCTCATAGTTGAGGTCTACCTATGATGCCAATTACAGGCCTCTCTCATCTTTTTAAGTGGGAGAACTTGCACAATTGGTGGCTGACTAAATACTTTTTTGCCCCACTGTATATATATATATATATATATATATATATATATATATATATATATATTCTATAAATCTAGAATGGTCAGCTGTCAGTCTTCCTATGGACAAAGTTCTGCTTTGGAGGCTCTTTTAACTTTTCCTGTGTAATCGCTAATGAGGTTTTTATGCTGCTATTATTAATGGCATTTTCATTATGTTTTTTTTTTCAGTAGTTTAACAGCCCTCGTTATCATAGGAGCTCATGTGATTAATGATGAAAAAGGAAGACTAATTAGGAGACTCAATAGGACAATCCCACATGAGCATTTTAAGAAAAGTACATTTGACTATGATGTTGCGCTTTTAAAGGTAATTAAGCTGCAAAACACTTCTAGTGATTTATTAATTTGCATAATATGCAGTAGGTCACCAGTACCTAACTACTCATTTAATTCAACTCCATCTATTCTTAAATCCTAACTCCACCCAGTAACAAAATCATTTAAATATACTACCCCCAGCTTATAAAGGACCTAAGGCTGTTTTTTTTCTAGGGATTCAAATAAAACCGAGTATTACTTACCTTATTCCAGGGTCCTGTGTTCTTCATCCACACTGACTCCAACTTTGACAACTGGTCCCCTGAAACTGCTTTTCTTGTTGGTCTCCAACTGGTCTTAATGCCACCCCCTCTCACTGAAGCCATCATGTACAATGCAGCACCATCAGCCACGAAAAAAAATCAAGACCAGGAGAGTCCTCTCCTACTGGAGAGTAGAGGACTTGTCGTGGGACCATGGGTTAAAGCAGTAGTAAGTGCTGACTCATACCTACTTGGTAAGCTTATAATAAAACTTACATGTAGGTACAAGGAATATCTTTTATATGTGCACCATTTAGGAGATATTATCTACTTCTGCAGCAAGTGACATTCATCGGCACATGCACACTGCACTTTGAAGCGACAGCATGCTGTCCCTTCAGAGCACTGTGCTGTGGATGTGGCTCCCATGCACATGTGCGGGAGTGATTTTTATCGTGGCTCAGCCATTCAAATGGCTGGAGTCCATGAACTTGGAAGGAAGACTAGGTGAAGATGTAAGCCCTGACAGTGGCAACAGTACACCGCAGGAGGGCTTCTTTTAAGGGTAAGCCTCGCATAATGTGCTAGTATGCGATACATACTAGCACATTATGACAGTAACATGCAAGGGAAATGTTTTTATTTTTTGGTGGGGGACACTTTTCTACCACTTTACATTAAGTAATACTCTGTCTTATTTCATTTCCTAGAAACAATGAGCAACAACTCCTTTATACCTGGGGGAAAAGGGGATATCTAAAGCCCAATTTTGGCTTAGGAAACAAACCTTAAATTGAAGACCCCAACAGCTCTTAAAATTGCTGCCTCCCCCCACAAACTTACCAATCCCTCCAATGTGGTGACATCCTTCCTCTTTCAGATTCAATGATGCCCAGTGTCATTCAACCCACTTCGTGTAAGCCCAGGGCTTCAAAACATCAAGGAGTAACAGAACATTTAACTGCACTGAACAAAAAAGATGGCCACAATTAGGGCTGCCAACAGCTATGGATCATGAACGGACATTTGCTGCTGTGCACAGCCCTCCTCCAACTGTTGCTGATATTGCCAATAATGTAGGGGCCCTGAGTACAGTGGGATTTTGGGATTTAATATCCCTGGATTGTTGGGTTTTATTTATAATCAGCAGACTTAGAGGACTGCTTAACTGTAAAGTTGGACCACGTGGAATATTTAACATAATACACGGTCGCTTGTAATAATTGGAACTGTTTGTGGCACATACTGACTGATAGTTGATGCTGTCTTGCTGTGCCATTTGATTGTGTTGATAGACTTTATTTTTCAATAAAGTACCTGTTTGTTTAATCCAATGGGTTCTAATAATTATTCCCTGCCTCATATCAGTTACACAAAGTGCAGCTTTAAAGGTACAGCAACATGTAAGCAATTTGGTCCTTCAAGGCAGCTTCAGATCTTGCATGAGTATGCATCAAATACACAAAAAAGCCTAAAAGCCCTTAATTTATAAGAAGATTTATTGACTATAGTCCAAATGCAAAAGTTCTCTAGCTCTAGTTGTGCTCAAAAGCTAAAGTACACTTTAATTAAAATCTGTTTTAGTAATTTAATAAATGCTGTATTCACAAAAAGAGGTCTAGCTTATGCATCAAAATTGCCTGCCCCCAAGTGTTCTCTGAACAAGGGGGCCAATTTAATGTGTTGATCTGAATGGCTCAATACTCATATGATTGGTCAGAGGACGGCTCAGTAGGTGGAATGTTATCTCTTTTGACATCAATACATCAAGTGTACAACATCTAGCCATCTTGAGTATATCAAAGTTCAGATGCAACCTAATCAGGAACCCTTGAGTTCCTTTATGACATGAATAAGAAATCTGTTAAGAAGAAAACAATGTATAGTTTCAGAGTTGGCCCAGTCTACTATTATCAACTCTCTTCTGCTGAGTACTTAAAATAGGGTACGCAAATTATTTGCAAATACAATAAACTGATCTCCAAAATCAGACACCTTATATAGCCGGTGCATCGATTCCCCCTTTCTCCACTCACCCCCCCTCATGTTGTCATAATGGGGAATGGAGCTGTGCGCTGTAGGCACCTGCGGGCTCCCCCCCCCCCCATCAACCCACCGTTAGGACTTCCTCCGCTGCAGAAAGGACCGGAGGACTAAAAGGGGAGGACAGTGTAGGAGCATTTATTTTTTCTTCAACCATGTGTGCCAGAGAAACTGAGGCTGTTCTTGGAGTTGAGGTGCAGAACAGAACCCATAATTACCAAGCAGCTCCTTCAGGGTTGGTACTACACCTAAATTATGTTTTTGTTTGTTACCTTTATTCCTTAAACCCCTGATGCCGACCGTACGCAAATTAGCAGCCCCACTGGACTGGGCTTCTTTCCGTGGGGCCGTATATTTGCGTATCTGTCTTCATGGAGGGAATGCGCCGCATGGAGAGCTCCCAGCACAAAGACCTGGGTGTCACTGAAAGCCCCGGGTCCCGTTCTAATGTTTGGGACCCGGAACTCGATTCTGGGTCACCTGGTCGCTGTGTGTTTTCCATAAAATTGTGAAGAGCAGTGAGTGAGAGGGACAGAAAAGGGGCATTACTATAGAGGGGGGCACAACATTGGTAAAAGGCACTGAGATGAAGAGACAGAAATGAGACAGAAAGCATAGAATGGACATAGAGGTGCAGATTGGTTACAGAGGTATACTATATATAGAGCAAAGTTGTAACAGAGCTAATAAAGGGAACATCTATAACAAAACCACAAACCAAAAACAGAGAAGTGCCTTGGGTATCATGGCACTGAATCTGATTCTTCTTGGTGCTCAGAAGGGGTTCAGTTGGCGTGGCAGTTTTACTGCAAAGAATCATAGTCACAATTTACAGAGTACACACAGTTTTGTTTTTTTTCAACCAGTGGGTTGAACAAAAAAACTGACAGGTCCCCACATCAAGACAAGCAATGCTGATGCAGAGATCTCTCCTGCTGAGACATTGTATGCAGACAGACTGATCAGCACTCGCAGCAATTGGCTGCAAGCATTGATCGAATGCTGGTTTTCCAGCAGACAGAAGCTGATCATTAGACCAGCCTCTGTTGAACAAACAGCTGTAAGCAGGGACACAATGATTGTAAAGCTGTACTTTTAACCCTTTGCTTAATTGTATGAACTGTCAACAGGCAAAATTCAAACCTCTTTATCAGATGTTGAAGAACCCAGTGACCATCACACACTGGTGTCTGGAAGTGAGTAACGCCCCCCCCCCCCCCCCATTTCCCAAGGCACCCTTCTCAAAGTACTACCCACCTCTGAAGTGCTTGTAGTCTGATATTACACATTCCCTTACTTTCCATGCAGATAGCAGCCCATATGCCTCCTATCGGTTTTAAGGGGAACACACGTCTTCAAAAATATGTATTTTTTTTTAAAAAGTTACAAAATAGAAAAAATATAACGTTACCTACATACACACAGTGCTAGTCCTATGTAAAAACACAGGGCAAGCAATCTTGTTTAGATGGCCATTAGTCTCTACTGTCCTTCTTAAAAGTGATCTGCGGTGGATCGCTTTCAAAGGAAATAAAGCAGTGGCTGCCAGGCATTCAGGAGGCAATAATACCTTCTCCTGAATGCCTGTTTTTTTGCAGCTGAAGGGGGATTTTGAAGGGGAATAATGCAATCAAACACAAATTTAGTGATTACCACTTGTCAAATGTGATAGTTTTTTGGGGGTTTTTTTGCTGCAATGTTAACTTGTGGCGAAAAAGTTAGGGGAAGTAAAACTGCAGGTCAACAGCCTGTTTTTAAAGCCCCTCGATTGCCCATGTAAACAAGGCCCCAACAAAACCCTGGATGGCAAAACATTCCAGTTCTAATACTTCTCTACTCTAACTTTGGGTTTGACATAGACTGTAAAGCTTGAGTTTGAGCTTTGGGCAGAAAACTGAAGGTTTGGAACAGCTATCAGTGCTTAAAGATATTGGTGGGCTTATTCAAGTATAAACTTGATGTCTTGGTGATTTCCATTTTTTTTTTTTCAGTTAAAAAAAAAAATAAACCTTACAGACACTGTGAAAATTCTTGCACTGCCTGAAAACTGTAAAGAGCCAGTTGAGGGAACAGTTTGTGAAGTTGCTGGATGGGGTTCAACAACAAACCTGAATAATAAACCATCAGACAGACTCATGGAGGCAAACGTAACCATACTGGACAGAAAATCCTGTTCCGAAAGATGGAAAGGTCGGCATAACATAACTGAAAATATGATCTGCACCAGTGAAAAGACGAAAACGGAAACTTGCAAGGTATATTAAAGAGCTGCTCTCTACAACAGTAGAAATCAGTCTGTGAACTCCTAATGAAGTATACATTGCAATGGTGCAGACGCTATATAAGCCACTAAATGTAATTTTATTTTTAGATTTATACTATACTCTAAGTCAGATTTACAGGCTTCTAATAGGGCAGCCTTTTGTTACATGAATCACATGTTGGGGTAAGACGCACAAATGAAGCTGCCAGGCTGCAGTAGGCTTACAAATATCCCCAGTTTGCCCCAAAAGGCATCCGCCATTGATAAATGTGTTTGTAAATAACTGATTCAGAGGATCTGGAGTTACTGCTGTGCATGCAATTGGCCATAGATTTTGTATTCATCAATTAAATATGGGCAAAATGGGTACTTTGGCAACATACAGTCAGGTCCATAAATATTCTGTCCCATTACTTTTGGTCCCTTAACCACTTCCCGACCGGCCGTTGCATATAAACGGCCGGACGGTGGCAGTGCAGAGTCGGGTGGCCGTTTATAAACTGCCTCCCCGCACCCTGCTTGTGCGCGCTCCCTCGGAGCGCACAGCAGCGATCCGGTGCCCTCTGTGTCCTCAGGACACAGTGAAACACCGATCGTCGGACGGGACCTCTGTACGAGGTCCTGATCATGTGATCACTGATTGGCCAATCAGTGATCACATGCAAAGTAGTAAGCAAGATGTCACTTGTGACATCATTGCTTACTACTTGTGAAATCTGTGAATGATCACAGAGGTCACATGGTACAAGGCTATTCACAACAGCCTTGTATCTTGTGACAAGCTGTGACCAATCACAGCTCACTCAGTACTTCTCAATGACTGCAAGAATGCAGACAGAGAGAAAGAGAAATGATTGCTTTTACATCCTAAATGGGTGTAAAAGCAATCAGTGTAAAAAAAAAAAAAATCTTCATCACCCCCCACAAGTAGTACAGTGTCACCATGGTGACACTGTACTGCTAGGGTGACAGTATGTTAAAAAAAAAAAAATAATAATAATATAAAAAAAAAAAAAAAAAAAATGTAAAAAAAAATGTTTAAACATTATAATTTTTGGTTATAAACTAATTTGGATTTTTTTCTTTTTACTAAAAAGATAATGGAATAAATTTTGGTCAAGATTTATGATGAAATATTATTTATTTGCAAAATTTTATTAACCACTTGCCTACCAGGCACTTATACCCCCTTCCTTACCAGGCCAATTTTCAGCTTTCAGCACTGCCGCACTTTGATTGACAATTGCGCGGTCATGCAACATTGTACCCATATGAAATTTCGATCATTTTTTTCTCACAAATAGAGCTTTCTTTTGGTGGTATTTAATTGCCACTGGGCGCTTTACTTTTTGCGCTATAAATAAAAAAAGTGCAAAAAATTTGAAAAAAAAAAAAAAGTTTATTTGTTTCTTTATATAAAATTTTTCAAACAGGTATTTTTTCTCCTTCACTGATGTGCGTTGATGAGGCAGCACTGATGGGCACTGATAGGCGGCACTGATAGGCAGCACTAAAGGGCACTGATAGGCAGTACTAATGAGGTGGCACGGATAGGCGGCACTGATAGACAGCACTAATTAGGGGTCACGGATAGGCGGCACTGATATGCAGCACTGATAGGCGGCACTGATAGGTGACACTGATTATGGGTACTGATAGACGGCACTGACTGGCATCACTGCTGGGCACTGACTGGCGGCACTGACTGGCACAACCCCTGGGCACTGACTGGTGGCACTGACTGGCAGCACTGCTGGGCTGCACTGGTGGGTGGCACTGGTGGGCAGCACTGGTGGGTGGGCACAGGTGGGTGGCACTGGTGGGTACAGGTGGGTGGCACTGGGGGCACAGGTGGGTGGGCACAGGTGGGTGGCACTGCTGGGCACATGTAGGTGGCACTTCTGGGCACAGGTAGGTGGCACTGCAGAGTGGCACAGGTGGGTGCACTGCTGGGCACAGGTGGGGCACTGCTGGGCACAGGTGGGTGCACTGCTGGGCACGGGTGGGCGGAGCTAGTGGGCGCACTGCTGGGTGGAACTTGCGGGTGTCACTGCTGGGCCCCGATCATCAGGGCACTGATCATCAGTGCCCTGATGATCGGTGCCTATCCCTGCTCTGACAACTGCCGGTTCTCGGCAGTACTTTCCTCACGATCTGACAGCGTGAGGAAAGTGCAGCCGAGAACCGGCACTTGCATTTCCCTGTGATCAGCGTGTCATTGGACACCGCTGATCACGTGGTAAAAGGCCGCTGTGATTTATCACGTGATCAGCTGTGTCCGTAGGACACAGCGATCATGGAGATCGCCGGGTGCGCGCGCCCCCTGGGGCGCGCAGGAGAGCGCGTTCTGGGAGGACGTCATATGACGTCCACCCAGAACTGGCCGGCCGCGGTGAAGCCGTCATTCGGCTATGCGCGGTCGGCAAGAGGTTAAAAAAAAACACTTTTTTTCAAAATTTTTGGACTTTTCATTTATATAGCAAAAAAAATAAAAATCCCAGTGGTGAATAAATACCACCAAATAAAGCTTTATCTGTCTTAAAAAAATGGTAAAACATTCATTTGGGTACAGTGTTGCATGACCATGCAATTGTCATTCAAAGTCTGATAGCGCTGAAAGCTGAAAATTGCCCTGGACAGGAAGGGGGTAAAAAGTTTCCGGACTGCAAGTGGTTAACTAATACCTATATAAGACAGCACTTTTGTTGTTTTCTTTGTTATGATTAAGCATGAGATCCTGTGAAACACGTTAACAGGTCCTGTATTCATGTCCTGGTGTTTTTTGTGTCCTGTGGATCAATAAATACACACTATATTCATCTATCCTCTGGTGTGTGGCTGACCCTTCTTCCTATTGTATTGTAAATGGAAGCCAGTCTGTTTACATCCAACTGCTCATAGAGCAGAGTGGGCCGTGTCCATGGCCGCTCTGCATAAACGTGCACACAGACCTATTATCTCACCACTCCACTCAGCGGGATGTTAGCGGACAGATCCCTTGCTGAGAAAACCTGGATCTGGCCTGTGTGAAAGGGGCCCAAGACTCTAAATTTAGATTTGACTAACGTTTGAGCAAATACCATACTTTGCCGCTTATGATATTTTTTCTATAGATGCTTTGTTTTTAGGGTTTTTAAGTAAATTTTTGTGTAAAAATGTAGCTTGTGTGTGAAAAAAGAAAACATTAGTCCAGCACTAAAGGTTAATGTGAGCATGACAGCATGCTGTGAAACCATTGGAGCTCCCTTCATATGCAGCCGATTTATAGTTCCATGGGGAGGGCTAGTAAATTTTATTTATTTGTTTAATTTTTTTTTTTTTTTTGCAGGGAGATTCTGGTGGACCACTGATCTGCAATGGAGTGCTGAGGGGTGTCATATCTTTCGGTAAAGCTGAATGTGGTGTTCCTGGAAATGCAGCTGTCTATTCTTTTTTTTAAATAGAAGGATCGTTTGCTGGATATACAAACAACTGAGTGGCTTGCCTTAGATGAAAATTTTCAATAGGAAAAAAGGTTATACATAATTGCTATACAAGTTACATTGCAGTTTGACATTGCTCTGCTTTGACCTGCAGTCAGCTATGATTTTCCAAAACTGACAAAAGAAATACAGTTGTGCTTTCTTTAACCACTTACCTCCCCTTCCTGACCAGGCCATTTTTTGGTATTCAGCACTGCGCTATTTCGCCTGGTAACTGCGCAGTTACGCAACACTGTACCCAAACAAAAAAATCCCAATACATGTATAATAATTGGTTTGAGTGAAAGTCATAGCATCTACAACCTATGGTATATATACTGGAATTTACGCAGCTTTTACTTTTGAGTGCCTGTCACATTTCTTGAGGAGCTAAAATGCCAGAGCAGTACAAAAAAAAAACCAAACCACCCATTTTTGGAATTTGCTGAGAGGCTTGTTGAGTCCATGGAATTTTTTGTCACAAATGTTTTAAAAATGTAAATTTTTTTTTTTACACAAAGTTGTCACTTAAATGATATATTGCTCATGTATGCCATGGCTATATGTGGAATAACAACCCAAAACACATTCTGCAACATCTCCAGAGTATGGGGGTACAACATGTTAGAGACTTTTTGGCAGCCTATCCATATACAGGCCCCCAAAATCCAATGATTTCATGCTCATAGCACTTCTTCACTACCTATCGGTTTTGGAGGCCTAAAAATGCCAGATAAGTACAACCCCCCCCCCCCTCCAAAATTACCCCTTTTTGGAAAGTAGACACCCCAAAGATTTTGATAAGAGGCATGGTGAGTATTTTTCAGATATCATTTTTGTCAGTGTTTTGAAAAAGAAAAAAAGAAAAAACACATTTTTGTTCTTCATTTTCCAAAAACTTCTGGCAACAAATGAGAAAATGAAATCTTAAAAAATACTTAGCAAATACTAAATTCCAGAAAGGGGTCATTTGGGGGAAGGATGCTTCTACTATCCTGGCATTTCAGGGCTAACATTAGAAGCTTATGCCACAAGTCGCCCACTCTTCTAACCATTTGAAGAACACACCTTTTCTGACACCTTTTGTTTACATGAAAAAAGTTTTTTTAACCCCCAAACATTATGTATTTTTTTAAAGCAATAGCCCTAGGGAATAAAATGGTGGGTGTTGAAAATTTTTATGTCACACAGTATTTGAGCAGCAATTTTTCAAACGCTAAACTTCTGGGGAAAATTACACTTTTTTGAATCTTAATGAACAAAAACACAATATATTGCCAAACTGTTTGATAACATATAAAAGATGATGTTACCCAGCGTATACAGATACCAAACATGACATGCTTTAAAATTGTGCATACCCATGCAGCGGTGACAAACTTTTTATATCGATAGACAACGCTTTTACAGGTCACCACCTTATATTTACACAGGAGGTCTAGTGCTAGAATTACTGCTCTCGATCTGACATTCGCAGTGATACCTCATATGCATGGTGCAATCACTGATTACATACTGACACAGGATGGATGCTTGCATTTGTCTTTGCGCATGAGCACGGGAAGGTGGAGATGATTTTTTTTTTTTTTTTTCACATTATCCCTTTTTTTTTTCTGATCACTTTTATTGTTATCACAGGGAATGTAAATATCCTCCTGTGATAGCAATATGCAATGTCAGGTACTCTTTTCTGAGAAATCTTGGGTCTATTAGACTCTAGATCTCTCCTCTGCTCTTAAAGTATCTGATCACACCAAGATCGGTGTGATCAGATGCTTTCCCAATTTAAAAATGGCACTGTTAATATCCGGTGAAACAGAGATTATGGAATGCTTGTAGCTTCTGGTTTCTTAGACCATATAGATGATTGGAGCCATTCTGGTCTCTGATCAGCTCTATGGTCAGCTGGTGGAACTGCCAGCTGCATTCTCGGATTCCCCTGTGGGAAGGGAGAGCCCAAGTAAACCGTGGAAGGCGGGGGGAGGGGGGGAACATCCCTTTCCACTGCTTGTAAAAAACGATTTTATCAGCTAATTAGCCACTAGGATTGCTTGTACGTGAAAGCTGGCCACCAGCTGAAAAAAAAACGATACCAGGATGATGCCTGTAGCTGCAGGCATCATCCCGGTATAACCACTCAAAGTCCAGCGACGTACCAGTATTTTGCTGGCCTTTGTTCGGTATATATGTAACAACAGAGAACACGGGCATATGGTGAAAGTCTGGCAAGAGCTGAATTTGAGTGGACGGCGATGAATAGTTGTGCATATAAATTGCTTAGGCCCACAATCAATTGTTACAAATCTTCCGTGAAAAATGGCAGAGGGGCTAAACACCTAGTGCTGGCAGTGAATGGGCCTTATCCTGCTAACACTGCTTTTTTGGGGACACTATAAAAACCAGGCACTAGTATAGTTCTTTTCCTGACCAATATATTGATCTGTACAAACACTATACTAGTAATGGCGTTGATCAGCGACCTATAGCATAAGTGCGATAGCATGCTGGCAATCTAACGCTAGCTGACCCTGGTTGCGAGGGGAGCTTACAGACCTTGACGTTATCTGATGTCGTTAGTGGCAGTAACACAGTGATCAGTGAAAAATTCTATATACTGACACTGCACTAATGGCACTAGCTGGGTGATCAAAGGGTTAAATGTGCAAATCTAAAGGTGTGTGTAAAAGGTATTGCTCTGTTGTGCGGCGCCCCCCTGTGTTAGTACAGCCAGAGTCACGTACCCGTACATTGCTTTGCCTGTAGCTTCTGCCTGTCCGGAGTACATTGTGGGCGGGCAGACGGGCAGCAAGAGGTTAAACTAGGTTTATCTGCACACAGTCTGAACCTGTATGTGAGGTAGGCTCAGTGATTTAACTGAAGTCTGTTTTATACAGTAATATCATAGACATCAACATCAGCAAGTTATTACCCTTCATGGTAAAGTAGCGTATTCCTTTGAACACATCAAAAAATATGACATGAACCTTTCTTTTTCAGTACAGCACACCACAATGCACAGATGGGTTCTATGTGTGCATCATGGGGCACTGAAAAGCATGTGAATTGTTAAGGTAATGCAATCTTGTGGGTCACAGGAGTGCACTTATTTTTGCTCTCCTGAGACCCAGAGTCAGCTGATAGTAGGTTGTTGCCCACTATCAGGTAACGTGACAGAGCTGCTCCAGGTTCTGTAAGGATCCTGACAATAATGTTGGGATTCACCCAGCTGCCCGACTGACAGCTGGATCTGCATCTCAGTGTGTGGCTGAGAGGAGGATCCAGCTGCACATGCCCCCTCCCCTGCTGGATGAGCAGAGTGGAGATTGGTAATTGACTCACTCTTAGCACTGAGCAGATCAAGAACTGAGCGATCAGTGGTCATGTGATGTCTCAGTTCTGTTTTAGAGCTGACGAGGGACAGCTGCATACCTGTTCAGTTCCAGTTTAGGGATTTTAATCATAGACCACACATGCGTTTCACTGTATGTGTGGGAACCCCACCCTAAGCTGCTGAGCTATAGCCAGTTTTTTGGGGTTTTCCCAAAGTTTACTTTTATTGTTTGCTTCTGTCTGAGGTTTATGAGTGTCCCTGGCAATAGTGTGAGATATACAATAATTCTGAATATGTATGTCTCCCTAGCCAGCCAGTTTATTGCCAGTAGTGCATGCTGGGGGAGGATATCAAAATTTAGGATGACCTTCTGGAAGCTCTTTTGCCTCTCAAGCCCTGCGTGGGTCTGAGGCCTAGGAAGTTTGGACTACCTGGAATGGAGCACCAGAAGTGAAGACTTCACTGCTGAAGTGTGTCCTGGAGAGGTGGGTAGAGGCTGCTGCCAGAGCACTTCACAGAGAGTTCTAGAAGCTCATCCAAAGAGCTGTGTGCGCCTCAATGAAACTACAGTACAGTCAAAGAGTACAGAGAGCCAGCTCTTGCTTAAACTGTATCTAAGCACAACAAACTGAAGGCACTATTTCATTAAGTGTTCTTGCATGGCAAGACCACTTACTGTTATCTCACATATATATTCTTATTATTATAGCCAAATTTACCACCCTAACTCCTCCCACAGTTTTTACACTACATAGACAGTAATATACCGAAACGTGCGGATTTTTCCTGGTTGGTGTGCTATTACTTTGTGGAACGTTTCGCCGAATGGTTCACGAAATATCGCTGTTTTTGTGGTGAAATTGGTCCCATAGGAATTAATGGAGGAATGTTCAAAACTAGAGTGGGAGCTGACAAAACCTTTTCACAGTTACTCCAGCCACTGGTGGAGGCAAGAACACTTCACACAATTTCCCCAGAAATTGTAGCTTTTCTAGTTGTTTTTATTATTTTAAGCAAACTCTCCCTTCCATCCATGTCTCCATGTTTTATTTTGGTGAGTAATAACTTTGAAAGTTATCTCCTTAGCAGAAGAAGTAGAGAGAGTAGATGATTCATGTAGCATTTACTTCCTGGAATCCATCCACCAGGATTCAGCAAGCAACTGAAGGAATGTAAAAAAGTTTAAAACAAGTAAATATAATATACCTTCTCATCTACAGTCAGGTCCATAAATATTGGGACATCGACACAATTGTAACATTTTTGGTTCTGTACACCACCACAATGGATTTGAAATGAAACAAACAAGATGTGCGTTAACTGCAGACTGTCAGCTTTAATTTGAGGGTATTTACATCCAAATCAGGTGAACAGTGTAGGAATTACAACAGTTTGCATATGTGCCTCCCATTTGTTAAGGGACCAAAAGTAATGGGACAATTGGTTTTTCAACTGTTACATGGCCAGGTGTGTGTTTTTCCCTCATTATCCCAATTACAATGAGCAGATAAAAGGTCCAGAGTTCATTTCAAGTGTGCTATTTGCATTTGGAATCTGTTGCTGTCAACTCTCAAGATGAGATCCAAAGAGCTGTCACTATCAGTGAAGCAAGCCATCATTAGGCTGAAAAAACAAAACAAACCCATC